GTTGAGAGTCAAGATAAAGCAAGAATCTTGAAAGCATGTTCTCACACTAGCAGAGGGAGGTGCCATAAAATTATCAGCATATTTCTCAGCAGAAACCTTGCAGGCAAGAAGGGAGTAGGATGATATATTCAAAGTATGGAAAGAAAAACTGTCAACCAAGAATACTGTATCTGGGGGAGAACCAAGATGGTGGCATAGATAAATGCCTATACTCACCACCTCCCACAACCACATCAAAATTAAAACTAAACTACAGAACAACCATATTCAGAACCACCTGAAATCTGGCTGAACGGAAGTCTTACAACTAGAGAAGTAAAGAAGAAAGCATACTGAGACTGGTAGGAGGGGCGGAGGCATGGAACAGGCTGGTCTGACACCCATGTGCGGTTTTTTAATCGGGAGGGATATCTCCAAGGCCTCCCTTGAGAAGCAGGGGGTCCCAGCCCCACACCAGATCCCTAGTCCAGGTTTCCAGGGCTTGTAATATAAGTCCCTGTAACTTCGAGCTGTAAAAACCAGCAGGGATTGTGGCTGAGTGACACAGAGGCTTCTGGGGTCCCATATGTTCCTCTTAAAGGGCCCATGCACAGAATTTACATGGTTTCACTTCCTCTGAGCTCCAGTGCCAAGCAGTGGCATTGGTAGAATCCAGGGACATATGGGGAAAAACTGGACTGTCTGGCATTGGGGCAGGAACTCAGGAGCAGCTTTCTCCCAGGCAGCGGTGCTTGCAGGGATCATTGTTCCTGTGCTGGGACCTCCTCCATCACAGAGCTGACTGACAGCCATAACTGAGTTCCATCAGCATGACCCACACTGTTCCCTACACCCTGGTGATTTCTTGAGACTCCGCCCCATCCAATTTGTAGCCCCACCCAAGTTGTTTGCAGTGGCTTTTACATATGAATGGCCTGTTCTGGCTCAGGCTTCAGACTTTGCTAAAGTCTCTCAAACAAGGTGCAGCTGGCATCAGCATGCCCCAAACCTATCAATAAGAAGCTCAAGACCCAGCATTAGCACCAACCTGCCTGTCTCACAACTGGGCTTCACCTGGGAATTTACTAGCCCAATATAAGTAGCAGCCATCTGCAGATCTCCCTGGAGCTCCTGCCATGTGGCCCCAGGCAGTGGCTGACTTTGTACCTCCTGGGAGGCCCAAGAGCTGGTGCACCCAGTGGACAGCTTCAGACCATACCAGATTACAAATCTACACCATCAACAAGCAACACACTCAAGGGGCAGACTCAGTGAGCACCAAAGCCCCATTGAAGCAAATCCTTCTCCATAGGGTGTCTCCTGTACAGCAGCTCTTCCATTGTAGACACAGCTGGTCTCACAGCCAACTCCTAGTGACTCCAACAGCAATCAAGGCTCAACTACAAGACTGTGCACACAGCCCTTAAAGGAGCCTACAACCAAGGTACATGCCCTTGACTGGAATCGAACATGGGACCCTTTGGTACTCAGGCCAACATTCTATCCGCTGAGCCAAATCAGCTAGGGCTGAAAAAGACTCACTTTAGACCTAAGGACACACAAAGGCTAAAGGTGAAAGGAGGGAAAAGATGTTCAATGCAAATGGTAACTAAAAAAAGCAGGGTGGCTGTACTAATATAAAACAAGATAGACTTTACGACAAGATAAACTTTTAAGTCAAAAACTCTCACAAGGGACAATATACATTATATAATGATTAAAATGTCAATTCATCAGGAAGATATAATAATTATAAGTATTTATCACCAAACAGCAGACTCCTAAACTATGAAACAAACATTGACAGAATTGAAGGAAGAAAAGCAACGCAATCAATACCCCAACTTTCAATAAAAGATAGAACAACCAGACAGAAGATCAATAAGGGAATGGAGGATTTGAATAACACTATAAACCAATTAGCCCTACGAGACTTGTACAAAACACTCCACCCAACAACAGCAAAATACATATTCTTCTTAAGTACACATAGAACATTCTCTACAATAAATCACGTTAGGCCTCGATAGAAGTCTTAACAAATTTAAGAAGATTTAAATCATATCAAGTATCTTTTTTGATAACAATGGAAGGAAAACTGAAAAATCCATAAATACGTGGCAATTTAATAACAAACTTTTAACTAACAAATAAGTCAAAGAAGAAATCATAAATGAAATCAGAAAATTTCTTGAAATAAATGAAAATAAAAACCCAGCATATCAATACTTACAGAGATACAGCTAAAACAGTGCTAAGGGGAAAGTTTATAAACACTTTCATTAAAAAAGATCTCAAATGCTACCTTTTCTTTATGTTAACTTTTAGGTTGTAGAAATTTAGTATGTGAGGGTCAGTGAAAATGAAAAAGTCCAGCAGTAAATATCTCCCTTCCTTTTTTTTCTACTTTGAGTCATCTCTCTTTTGGGGCCTGCAGAGTTGTATACATATGAGGATGAAAGCCCCAGTATGCATTCTACTGTTCTATTGTTTACTGAAACAGCAAGACAGCTCCAAAGAAACTAAGCTCAATTTCAGGTTCCTCATCAGTAAAATACAGAGACAACCGTACCTGCTGCATTGAATTGTTATACCTATAAAATGAGATCATGTCTGTAAAGCACTTACAACAGTGCTCAACACACACTGTAAATAATCTATAGATAATATTAACATCTTCACCAATGTATTCAGTACATAGCTATACAGATTGGCTCTCTCTTCACAGGTAAAAGAATGCACTGATAATATTTTAGACACGACTTTTTTTTCATAACTTTACCTTCATGTCTTCTCTCCACTCATTCATACCATAGCTCTTAGAAATTTCTGGTTGGAATATCTGCATTTTTGCCATGGATGTAGCCAGACGAGTTAAAGATTGACGACCACTTCCTCCAAGTCCAACAAGCAAAGCATTTCCACCAGACTGCTTTAGAATTCGACATATTCGTGATAAATGTTCCAATACATACCTATAAAGTATCAATATTATTATACTTGAAAATATAAATGTAAATGTATATTTACACATAAATATTGTTTTACTTTCCTAGGATAGACTGCTGTCTGATACTAATTTTAAAGAAGTAATCATAAAAAATGTGTGATTTTTCAAAAGCAGTTATAATTGGATCATTTGATGCTAAGTAAAATTATTTAAAGTACAAATTCAGGAAATGTAATATGTAAATTATAGAAATAAAATGAAAGCATAACCTCTTATACTGAAAGTACATTGTTATTTTTATTAAAACCATTACTTTTAATTTTTTAATAAAAGAATTTCTATGTGAAAAAATAGATCAGTTATTCACAAAATAACAAATTCAGGAAAGATGGCTTCACTAGTAATTAGGGAAATTACAGTTTACTAGTAGAGCCACTCTCCTTAGATTGGCAAAACTTACTAAGTCTGGCAATCCTACATATTGGCAAGGGAGAGACACAACACAAGCTCTTAAAAACAATAATAATTTTTGAAGGCACTTGGCAAAGCTTAGTAAAATAGAAGATGCTTACACACCATGGCACAATAATTTCACTTCTAAGAATATAATCTTAGAGAAATTCTTACACAGGTACCCAAGGAGACATGAACATTCTAACCTTTTTTTATCATTGCAAAACTAGAAGGCACATAAAAGTCTATCTTAGAAGAATGACTACATTTTTACACATATACAATGGAATACAATGTAGTAGTAAAAAATTATTTTTTGTGTGTGAATGTTACAAACAATATGGAATAAACCAACTTGCAGAAGAGTACATACAGTATGATACCATTTGTATGAGTTTTAAAAATGTAAAATAAGGTAGTGCATATACCAGTACATATGTGTAGGAACACATATGTATTAAAAGTCTGAAGACACATGAGTTTTGTTTTACCCCTGCAGGGTTCAATGGGAATGCAGTGATGGAAGGATGGCTACAGAAGGGACTTCAAATAAATTGCTAATAGTTTATGTCTTAAGCTCAATTATGGGAACAAGGTTATTCACCATAGTTTTTCTTATACCTTTTTACACATTTAAAATATTTCACAATAAATTTTTACAAATAGTAATTTCAACCATTAATACCAAATGTAGGTACCTAAAAATGACAAGATTCATTCTTCTTTTGTGAGTTTGATTATATTCATCTAAGCATTGGTCCACAATGTCACTAAATTGATGAATATTTGGAATTTCAATATAAACTCTGTCATCTCCTTCAAGGTCAGTATTCATATAGTCACCAAACATAAGATTTCTTAAGTCCTTTTCAGTTACCTATAGAATGAAAATCAACAAATTATAAAACAAATTATTTTTCTAAAATAAGTTTAAGAAAATGTTATATAAAATTTTGTTTTGTCCATATTATAGGATGATTATCAATTACAGAATTCTTTTAAAACAATTAGGGTAGCCCGGCCGGTGTGCTTAGTGGTTGAGCATGGACCTGTGAACCAGAAGGTCACGGTTGGATTCCCCATCAGGGCACATGCATGGGTTGCGGGCTTGATCCTCAGTGTAGGGTGTGCAAGAGGCAGCCAATCAATGATTCTCTCTCATCATTGATGTTTCTATCTCTCTCTACCTCTCCCTTCCTCTCTGAAATCAATAAAAATATATATATTTTAAAAAAGATAGGGTAGTAAATAATATAGTTGTAAAATTAATACCTGCAATTATATTATATCCTTAGGAATTTTTTTTAAAAAGAGCTTTTTTTTTCTATTTTAAAAAAAGTTTCCCCCACTCCCTAGAGCAGTGATGGCGAACCTATGACACGTGTGTCAGAGGTGACACGCGAACTCATTTTTTTGGTTGATTTTTCTTTGTTAAATGGCATTTAAATATATAAAATAAATATCAAAAATATTTACTATGGTTGCAAATATCAAAAAATTTCTATATGTGACACGGCACCAGAGTTAAGTTAGGGTTTTTTAAAATGCTGACACGCCGAGCTCAAAAGGTTCGCCATCACTGTCCTAGAGGCTGGAGAAGTCATTCTGAATGACTTCCACGTATTTAGTAGTTACAAAGCAATGTTAAACACTTTATATCTGTTATTAAATTTAATCCCTATCATACAAAGTATTATTTTTTAAATAACTTCTATGTTATATACATAATTTCTCTAAAGACAATTCTTCTCAAAATAAATACTGTCTGTGGAAAGTTAAAAGAATATAATAATTAAGAATTAGTATTTTTTAAAGATAAGTAATAATTCATGCTATTGTACTGTGTGTTTTTTATTTTGAGAGAGAGGGGCGGTAGGGAGAGAAAGAAACATCGATGTGAGCACAAAATATTGATCGTCTGCCTCCTGCACACCCTCTACCAGGGATCGATCAAGCCTGCAACCCAGGCATGTGCCCTGACCAGGAATCAAATTGGTGACCTTTCAGGGCATGGGATGACACCCAACCAACTGAGCAACACTGGCCAAGACACTATTGTACTGTCTTAACTTAATGTTTTTAATCACTAAATATACTCACTGGTGCATTCTCTTTCCTCAAATGTGAAAAGACACTATCAAATGATTCTTTAAAGTGCTCCTTTATAACAACTTTGATTAAATTGAACAGCCAATATCGATCCTCATCATTAATGAGGCGATCATAAAACACTCGAAGAACCTCATGCACGAACAGCCGGATCATGGTGTGCTTGCTCCCCACGGCATCTCTTTCAATGAGTAAGCAGCCCTGGATGACACGTGAAAAATCCCTCAAGTTGAAAGTGTAATGAGATTTTGTGGGAGTGGGCAAAAGATTTTTCATGGATTGTTTGTATATCTGAATATGAAAAAAGCAACAAAGCAAAAATAAAATGCTTATAATCAGAAAAGCCAGATAACAAATTGTATGTTATATAAAATATTTTATTTATCCTATCAGATTATATTACCTTGGAAAATTGCATAATTAAGTCTAGCATGGCATACGTTTTTTTGTTTGTTTATAGCACTCAACCAGGCATTATGAATTTGAAGGAACTTAATATTATCAGATTCTATCCAAGCCCAAAAAGGGACAATGCTTTTATTTCCCCTATGTTATGACTGTCCCATTTAAAGGGAAATGATCTGAGATTAAGTAGTTAACAAAAACTTTAGGAGAAAGTGAAATCAGGTAACTCATTCTGAAGTATTCGAAATAAAGAGTAGGATGAAACAATTTCCTTTTGACTACCATTGAATTCAAAACAAACCAATGTGCTCTCTCACTTCCCCTCTCTTTCTTATTTTTTCTCTCCCCCTTCTTCCTTCTATCATAACTGGCTATATGCTGAATTCACCAAATAAAGTTTAATATTTTCTTTAAGGAAGATAAATAATTAAAATGTAGCCTGAAAAAAACAAATTAAATTATATTTTATTATATGTGTCCTATGATTCACCTTTCTTCCCTAACCTACACACTCGGTAGGTCTATAATGCTTCAAAGAGTGGGGTGGGGAAGAATCCTTTCTGTATCCCATTCTGCCTAACCAACTGCTCCCTCTTTTCAGGAAATGCCTGAAATACAAATATCATATTTAATAAATAGAAGCACTTTTCTGTATCAGAATAAGTATAGTAATTACAATGTACATTTCTCTGTTCATAGTTTCTCTATTTTAACAGGACAAATTTTCCACCAGAATAAGAGGAGAACAACTTTAGAAAGATACAATGCTTTTAGAAACTGATGGAATGATTCTGGGGGGAGCTTTTTGCTTTTGGTTGCAGTGACACCACCCCCTCTCCCTTATCAAGGCTCCTCAAAGCTTAGTTCAATGAGATTATCACCTTGAATACATTTTTTTCCCTTTTACCATTAGCAATAAGGCTGGTGCTGGCCTCAATCAGAGGCAGATAACAAACACACTGAATAAGTTAAGAGCTGCTCTTTGGCCATATGGGCAATCTTGTTTTTTGTTCCCACCCTTGTGTTTTCTTATAATTTTTTTCACTACTAATCCTAAATTATGGGACCTAGCTAAAAATATATTCATAAGATGCTTAAGTTCATTTTTTAAGACAAGCATGAAGAAATGGAGGGGAGAGAAGAGAAAATTTATAAACACCAGAGTGGGAACCTAATAATTAGGGAAAACCCACAATGTGGCACATACTGGTTCTGGGTGATTTCCTTGTAATAACCGTGTGAAACAGGTGTTATCTCCCATTTTTGTGATTTGAAAAATGAGTTTCTGGAAAGTCAAATTACTTGCCTAAGTCCACTTAGCTAGAAAATAGCATTCAAAGCTCAAACCCAATTAGTTTCTCTAATTTCAAAGCCTATAATCTTCCTATTCTCAAGCCTTCATAACAGCTTCTCTGACACTGAAGACCAAAGTAGATGTCTAAAGGAAAACATGTTTTTTTAAAAAAAGTTAAGGACCCAATGAGATATATATACTGAAATATTTTGTATTGCATTTTTTGCTCACCTCCATAGTCCCACTGACAATTTGGTTTCCAATTAAGAAGAACTCAGGAGGAAAATCACGAGTCCTAAGGTAGAATGCTACAATTGATGAGAAGATTCGGACCATTGTTTCATCACTAAAAGCATTAATAGTGCAGATGTTGAAATGTCGAATAAAACGGGGAGTGACTGGATTTCTTCCACCACCTGGAGGGCCCATGGCAGCAATCAGCTGTATGTCAACCAATGTGATTTTACTTGTGTCCTTAAGGTCATACCTTGAAAGCACATAAAAATTCAAAACGATCAGTTATAAAGCCAATAAGATGGAATGAAATGTAGATCTCCCTAGAAACTTAACCTGATTATAGCTTCTCTACAAGGAAGAACTTGTGATAATGCTTCAAACAGAGGGAACTTATTTTAAGCAGCACTCCACTTTTCCTTTCAGTGACACTAACTCTGCTGCCCAGATTCTGAGTATCTAGAATGTTCCTCCCTCTTGCCCTTCCCTTTCTCTCCTCCTACTCTTTTTTTTTTCCAATTTGACTCTTTGCTTTTCCTCTTCTTACTCCAAATCCAGAGCATGGATGAGAGATCAATCTTGTGTATAGCTAGTCACAATAGGGTGACTATACATCCCCTTTCGCCTAGGACAGTTCTGGTTTGTGCTTGCCCTAGAGCAGTGATGGCGAACCTCTGACACGCGAACTCATTTTTTTGGTTGATTTTTCTTTGTTAAATGGCATTTAAATATATAAAATAAATATCAAAAATATAAGTCTTTGTTCTACTATGGTTGCAAAGATCAAAAAATTTCTATGTGACACGGCACCAGAGTTAAGTTAGGGTTTTTCAAAATGCTGACACTCAGAGCTCAAAAGGTTCGCCATCACTGCCCTAGAGTAATTACTGACACTCCCCTTTTACTCTCAGAAATGTCCCTGTTTGAAAATAAATTATATAGCTAAACTATGTACAGCAAAGTCCTGATTTCTTTTTCTCATCTCAAATCTTATCTTCGGAGAACACAAGAACATCTAAATAGTAACTACACACTTTTGTTATATAAAAAAGGACCCATTCAGGAGTAACAAATCTCCGAAGAAGTTTTAATCAGAAAGGGATAGCTAAATGGCTCAGTTTAGTTGGAATCACTCAGTTGAACAAGTTCTTATTTCCAATAGGCCATTAAGTCCTTTAATATTGAAGTTCTTGCAAAAATCAGGGGAGGATGATAGGAGAAATCTATATAAGTACTTAGTCTAATAGTACACTAGAAAGTATGAAAATATGATTCGGCTTATGGCAGCAACCATAATAGCTGTCATAGGGAACTGGCTAAGTAAACTATGGCAAGATTCATAGAACTAAATAGTATTAAAAGCCAATAAAATAAATGAGGCAAATAACATGATAGATGTTTAAGATAAATACTTAAGTGCAAATAAGTTGCAAAACATGTGTAACATGAGTATATTTTTTAAAATAAAAATATTTATAAAGAACAAAAACTTGGAGGAAGAGGGAATACATTATTAACAGTGATTATTTCCAGAAGGCAGGATTCCAAGGGCCTGCAGTAGTAACAAAAACGTATTTCCAAAATAGGACTTAGCTTCAAAATTAGTCTACCCTTGCCTTGAGATAAGAATAATGCTATACTGGGGTGGAGGAAGTAAAATTATCTATGACATTGCTGTTAAAATCAAGCCATTTCAAAGATATGGTAGTCCCAAACAGTAACAGAAAATATAAAGAAATTAAAATGGTAGAAACACAGGGTGTTGATTACAATTACTTAGGTTGGGAACTACCCATAAATTCTCAGCCCTGGGGGAATAGTACTTTGAAAGATATAAATCAGTAGATTATTTTGAAAATAATAGCTGTAAAGGAAAGATTTACTACAGTATTGAATATATACATTGCCAATACTGGATTATTAATCTGTTATCTAATTCACACATTCAGAGGAAAAACTGGTATAAAAAAGGTATATAAAAGTCTTCAAGACTGGCCAGTATGGCTCAGTGAGTGAGTGTCAACCTATGAACCAGGAGGTCACAGTTCTATTTCTGATTAGGGCACATGCCCAGGTTGTGGGCTCTCCTCATTGATGTTTCTATCTCTCTTTCCCTTCCTCTCTGAAATCAATAAAAATATTTTTTAAAAATTATACTCAGAAAAAATATATAAAAAATAAATTTATAAAGAAAAAGTCTTCCAAAATTTTCTGTATAGGAAAATAAGCAATCAGTTATTTATCTTTCATAAATAACTTGAAAAAATGTATTATTTTGCTCTGAGAAATTAAAATAGAAAAAAATAAAAAACTGACTTCACTATGCCTAATTAAGACTTCAATCAAATAGTTACCAATTCCCACAGTCAAAAAACTGTCGTAATAATTCAATAGGAGGTTGAGCTCCATATTTCTCCAATGTAGGCATATTCATATCATCTATAAAAATTATACACTTCTTTCCCATAGGTGGTCCAAAAACTCCTTTGCGTCTTTTATCCAATCTTGCCATAATAATGTTCTAAAATATAAAGAAGAAGGTATAGTAGTTATACTTAACACCAGAAAAAATAAGGAAGTTAAGTTTAATTATGTAAGGAAATAATGTCAAGCAGCACCATGTGCATGTTTATATCTATTCACTTTTAGAGTGATATCAAACTTCATATTCAACATTAAAGAGAACTTATTGAAACCCTACAGTACTAAAAATTGTTACATACATATTTTTATTATACACATATGTACACATGCACACAAATATTTTCCTCATTAAATACCCCAACACAGCTATTAACTTTAATTTACTCAATATCTAAAATTACTAATTTAAATTTGTAAGATTTTGAGATTAAGGGAATTCTACAGGTTTAAAACAATGAAAATGAGTTCCACAGGTCAAGAGAGATTGGACAGACATAAATTTAGGAATGGCTGATAAAAATGGTGATTGGAAAAGGCCTCATGCAATACTTCCATGTTGGTACTTCTGGGGGTAAAGGGTGGGACGCACAGCTACACAATTCTTGTCACAGAAAGTCTACAATAGTCCATGGTTTGAAATATATATCATAGACAGAGCTTCAATAAGCAGCAAATGCTCCTAAGGATCTAGGAGAGTCTAGAAAGTTCTCTCTCCTCTTTCTCTGCCCCCTCCCCCCTTTATACTCCCTTCCCTAGGTAAGAAATCAATTGCTGCTGCTTCTTGGCATAAAAAAAAGATGACAAATCTCAATAATCCAGTATTAATGCAAATATGTTCTCTCAAATGTTTGTCCTCAAAACCTGACTTTTAAAACTTATTTGTAATGCCAAAAATAAGTTAGAAGTTTAATTTGAATTCATAGAAAATTTGCACAGCTGCTCATTTAATATACAATTTTAAATACTAATCAAATAAGGCAAAACATTCAATAACTATCAATCTATGTTTCTGGCTTTAAACTAACCTGAACCTGGTTGGCACTGGTCCGTGCAGAGAAATTAACATAAAAAGGAAAATACTGGTTCTTTTCCAAGTGATTCATTAGCTTATCCTTCACATACACTGATTTTCCTGTACCAGTTGGACCCACAAAAAGCAGTGGCCTTTAGGAAAACAATGAATATATCATTCAAAAGGGGAAAAAGTCAGAATACATTTCTACTAAGGGAAGTTAAAGTTATTGAAAATGTAAAAAATAATCAAATCAAATTCATCTAAAAACTCACATTTTAATCTATCATTGTTATATCACGAAAGACTGGTAAAGTAACAACTGGCACACATTTTTGCTTCCTGTTACTAAAACTTTAATAGTATGGTAAGGAACTATTATTTGAACAGATGTAACATTGCTATATGCAAAATACTCATAAAACAAGTAATAATATGCTTAACTTTTCAGAAAGGAAAGGCAAATTTTGTCTCAGGAAAGTTATGTACAGTGTTTATATTTTTTAGTTAGAAGTACAGGCAAGAGGGTGTCGTGTGGAATAGACTAATGACATGATGACATAAGATAGATTTTGGCTGTTTCACAGTTATCTCAATAGCATAAAGTTTGTGTGAGAAATAAAAGACAGTGAATTCTAAATCTAACAGTTATATATACCTATTTAACATTTTAGAACCAAGTCAGAATTACTAACTGAAAATACTTATCTAAAAGCAAACTATAAGGAATTTTCTATTCAGTGGAATCTCAAGCAGGGCTTCTCATACTTGAGTGATCATAACTAATTAGAAAAGGAAAAAAATCCTATGAGTTTATATTCACAGAACTCTAAGGACTCCAAGTTTGAGAAATACTGAATTGAAAAATTAAATACTGTCACATTGCATGATAATTTGGTAGTACACAATACATAAAGACAAACACAAACTAAGCAACAGCATTCTGTTAGAAGGGGTCATCTAAGTAAACTAAGTTATGCTAATATGTATTACTTTTAAAAATTATCATTGAAGTATAAACATAAAACTAAAGTTTTACAACTATAGTAACCCCTGAATTCATCTATGTGTCCTAATCTGAGTAACCCTTGCCTTAAGAAAAACTGTTTATTAAAGTAATTTTAACAAATAAAATACTGTTCTTAACTTGGGGTCTATGGACCAATTGAAGAAATTCTTAAAGTGTTCAGAGAATCTGTGAACTGGAATGACAAAAAAGTTGTATCTTTGCTTTCACTATCCTTAATTAAAATGGAGCAATTGTATTAATAGTACCTGTGTGTTTGTCACCAGTAGAAATCATAGACATTATACTAAATATTATAATTGTTAGTGACAACTCAATATCACTGATGCAATGATTTCTTCAAAATTATGACAGTCATCAGACTCACTACTGGATCATAGTTAATGTACTAGAGCAGTGGTTCTCAACCTTCCTAATGCCGTGACCCTTTAATACAGTTCCTCATGTTGTGGTGACCCCCAACCATAAAATTATTTTCGTTGCTACTTCATAACTGTAATTTTGCTACTGTTATGAATCGTAATGTAAATATCTGATATGCTGGATGTATTTTCATTGTTACAAATTGAACATAATTAAAGCATAGTGATTAATCACAAAAACAATATGTAATTATATATGTGTTTTCCGATGGTCTTAGGCGACCCCTGTGAAAAGGTCGTTCAGCCCCCAAAGGGGTCGCGACCCACAGGTTGAGAACCACTGTACTAGAGGCTCAGTTCACGAATTCATGCACCAGTGGGGTCCCTTGGCCTGGCCTGCACAATTGGGCTGAAACCGGTTCTCCGACATCCCCCGAGAAGTCCCAGATTGTGAGAGGGTGCAGGCCAGGCCAAGGGACCCCACCGCTGCACAATCAAGGCTGGGGAGGGACATGGGAGATTGGCCAGCTGGGGAGAGACTGCAGGAGGGTTCCAGGGCATGTCCAGCCCTCTTGCTCAGTCCCGATCTGCCAGACCCAGCACAAGCAAATCTACTGTTCAGAGCATCTACCCTCTGGTGGTCAGTGCATGTCATAGCGACTGGTCAACCAGTTGACTGTCTGCCCCCTGGAGATCAGTGCAGGTCATAGCAAGTGGTTGAGCAGCCTTAGCATATCATTAGCATATTACGCTTTGATTTGTTGAATGGACGACCGGGCGACTGGACACTTAGCATATTAGGCTTATATTATATAGGATTCATAAAGAGGTACATGGCCCTGGCCATTGTTGCTCAGTGGTTAGAGCACTGGCCTCCAGTCAAGGGCACTTACCTAGGTTGCAGGTTTGAGTCTCTCTCTCCTCCCCCTCTCCCTTCCACTCTGTCTGAAAATCAATGGAAAAAATATCCTCATTCCTTGGATGAGGGTTTAAAAAAAAAGAAGCATATGTATTTCTACTATGGACCAAATTTGTTCAGTTTTTAAAATATATTTTTATTGATTTCAGAGAGAGGAAGGGAGAGGGAGAGAGATAGAAACATCAATGATGGAAGAGAATCACTGACTGGCTGCCTCCCGCACACCCCCTTACAGTGGATCAAGCGTGCAAACCAGGCATGTGCCCTGACCAGGAATGGAACCATGACCTCCTGGTTCATGGGTAAACGCTCAAACACTGAGCCAAACCAGGCAGGCCCAAATTTGTTCAATATTTTAATAAATGTATTTCAACATGTGATTTCCCTTGTAATCCTATATTTACATTACTCACTTAAAATCATTATTCTGACAAATGTCTCATAGCACAAAAAAATTACCATACTAGAATTCCTCAGAATTGGCAAGTGACTTCCGACTGCAGGAGAACATAATTAAAGCATAGTGAACTTCCTTGCCTAAGAAAGTTTTAAATATTAGGCATTAAATGCAAAAATGCAGCCCTGTCCAGATAGCTTAGTTGGTTAGTATCGTCCTGATTTGCCAAGGTTCAGGGTTCAATACCTGGTCAGGGCAGGTACAAGAATCAATCAGTGAATGTATAAATAAGTGGAACAACAAATCAGTGTTTCTCTCTCTTTCAAATCATAAACAAATAAAAATAAATAAATGCAAAAATGCAACTATAAAATAGTAATAAAATAATGTTCCCTCATAAGCTATTCTTTCTGTTTTTGTTTATTAAACAAGATAAAATTGTCACAAATTCATTCAAAAACAAGTTTTTTATAAACAACAAACCATTACATTCATGCATATTATGTAAGCTTCTCTAGTTCAAAATAGCATTAATAATAAATTATGCCTCATGTTTTAAAAGAAAAATAACTACCAAAATGTTATTAAGGAAGTTGTTATGGATATGCCTATAGTACATGCTAGGCTTTTGATTCAGTTTCATGTACTCTTTTTTGATGTGTTCTTCTGATTCAAGTCTGGGTTTTTCATGTTCATCTTAAGTTATGAAGAACTAGAATAGGATATGTTTGAAAATTATTAAATGTAATGGAAGAATGTGGATCATGGTTAGTCTGACCTCAGAAGTACAGTGAATCTTTGAGTAGAATGCATACCTATTAGCAATAACACTGATTTTTAGTCTGTTACAAATAAAAGAAACATAAGGCAGTTTATGAAGCAACAAAGTATAATGGCAAAGAGTTTGAAATGGGCAATAGGAAACCTGGATTCTAGGTTTGCCACTAGTAACAGATGTCAATATGGACATGTCAATTAGCCAGTCTCTCAGGGAGTCAGTTATCTGAAAATGAATGACCTTAAAGCTTACTTCAAATATTCTATGATCCTGTTAGAATGACACTGTTATGATTTAAGTGTATGTTATAAGAATTTCTTACTTGGCATAGGTAATACTCAAATTCATTAGAAATGTATATCTAACTGTGTCCATTGTAGGAACTATGATATCTTGAATCTTGATACGTTTATCTCCTAAATCAGTACTTTTAATTAATTCATTCCAATGGACCCAGCGACCTCGGTTTTTCAACTACAAGAGAACATAAGTTTCAAATATTATAACAATGAACTTGCTATCTGAAAGGTTCTTTTAAACACAGTTATCATATTTACTTTTAAAAACTTAATAGTCTTTCTGCTTTTTAGTATGAAATAACAGATTTCTTCAAAATAGTATATATAACATTTTTAAGTCATAAAGCAACTTAATAAACATCCATGAATCCACTACCCAATTTAAGAAATAAATTCTTTAATTTTCCTTTCCAATGATAATCTGAAGAACATAATGAAACAGTTATCACAAATTTAACATACCTAGAATTTCAGATATTTTTGCATCTATGTTCTCTTAGCACTCCAATCTTTCCAAAATGGCTTCAAGATATCTTTTGACATATATCAAGTATTTATTTGAGAAGCACTCTGATGTAACTCGTTATAATTTACTAAAGTTTGAATTCATGTTTTCATATTTTAAAATAAAGGGGCAACAATCTAACTAGAAACAAAACATCATGTGAACTCACTATGTTTGTTTATCTAAATTTATTCTCTTTGGTATTTTGATCCAGGCCAATATTCAGCAAGGACATATCAAAATGGTTGAATTGATTGTTACAATATTGAAATTCTTCTAAACCAGTGGCTAAATAATTGCTGTCCTAACATCCTGAGTATCTCCCTAATCCATGACCACCCCCCCCATCCCACCCTACCCATACTCCTCCACCATTATTTTCCTCTGTGTTGCCCAGCCCTTCCCTAAAGATCCCAAGGCTTCCCACCTTCCAGCAACAAAGGGGTTAACATTTGGCAGAGTAGAAGGTCTCTTAGACCCTGCTTCAGTGCTATGGCTGACATCCAAGAATCTTTAACTATTTTCTAGCAGATTGTGTCTGGAGGGTAATAATTTTGCAAGGTTGACTAAATGTTTCTTTAATAATTCATATTCTTAATTTTTAGGTTTTTGTTTTATATTTTTCAATGTTATATTTGCACATATTTTATTTTATTTTTTTAAATAAATTTTATTGATTTTTTTACAGAGAGGAAGGGTGAGGGATAGAGAGTTAGAAACATCGATCAGCTGCCTCCTGCACACCTCCTACTGGGGATGTGCCCGCAACCAAGGTACATGCCCAGGGGATCGAACCTGGGACCTTTTCATCTGCAGGCTGATGCTCTTTCCACTGAGCCAAACCAGTTAGAGCTGCACATATTTTAGAGTAAAAAAAATTTACAAGGTAAGAAAAACAACAGTTGTGCTCAACTCTTCTCACTACTACATCAAAATTAAAACTAAATTATAGAACAACCACCCAAGAGAATCATCTGAAGACTAGCTGAACAGAACTCCTATAACTAGATATAGAGAAGCCACACAGAGACACAATATGGGCTGCTCCCACACCCACGTGTTGGTGGTTAAGAATCAGGAGGGATGAATGTGTAATCCCGTAAATCACAGAGTAAGTGTACAGGAATTGTTAGCTCGATGAATAAATGATTAGACTGTGGGGGGAAAAAAAGAATCAGGAGGGATGGCCAGTGTGGCTTAGTGGTTGAGTGTTGACATCGAACCAAAAGCTTGGGTTGCGGGTTCAATCCCCCCAATAGGGGGCATGCACAAGGGCGCTAATTGATGTTTCTATCTCTCTCGCCTCCCTTCCTCTCTCTCAAATCAATTAAAAAAAAAAAACAAGACTCAGGATATATAGAGAGAGGAAGGGAGAGAGAAATAGAAACATCAATGATGAGAGAGAATCATTGACTGGCTGTCTCCTGTATCCCCCCACCCTCCCACTGGAGATTGAGCCTGCAACCTGGACATGTGTGCCCTGAGTGGGAATCGAACCGTGACCTCCTGGTTCATAGGTTGACACTCAACCACTGAGCCACGCCGGCCAGGCAGGAGGGATATCTTAACTGCAGAAATCTTTGCTGAGGATAAAGGGGCCCTGCCTGGACCACTAGCATCAGGAAGAGGAGTCCTCACAACATCTGGCAGTGAAAATCAGCAGGGATTCTATCCAGGTGAGGCAGAGGGCTGCTGGAGACCCAGGTGTTCTCTTACAGGGCCCAAACACAAACTCACACATTCACAAACACTTGACAACAGGTCAAAAAATGGAAAGGACACACAGGGAGAAACTGAATTGTCTGGCTTCAGAGCAAGAAAATGAATTATCTGGCTTCAGAGTTCTGGCCTAGACAGAATTATTGGCAGGTGCCATTGTTTCTTTGTTGAGTCCTCCCCCCACCCATCCTGCAGGTATAGGAGAGTTTCAAATCTGAGTCTCCATCAAATTGACTAACATCACTTGCCTTACCCTGGATATTCCCTGAAAACCTGCCCCACCCAACTCACTCACAGGCCCAAACTTCTTTCAGCAGCTGTTTCTCACAAACAGCCAGCATTGGCTGGCACTGTGGACTTTCCTAAAAATCTCTCAAAGGTCCACAAACCCCAAATAAGTAGTGGCTGGACTCAACTTGCCCTATATCACTTGCTAAGTAGCCCCAAGGCCAGCACTAATGTCAGCTGGCCTCAGTTTGCAGCCAAGCCTCTGTTAGGTGACTCTAAGCCCAGCACAGATGGCAACCAACTGCAGATCACTTTGTAGCTCCTACCAGGTAGCCCCAGACTGGACACAGGCAGCAGCTGACCTTGACCTGCACCAAAGCCTCTCCCAAGAGACCCCAAAACCAACCAGCTTTAGACCATATGATAGCACTACCCAATTAACTCCACAAACAACATACCCAAAGGGTAGACTTGGCAGGCACCAGAGCCTTGCTAAAATGAATCCCACCCTGTGGGGTTAACCACTACACCACAGCTCATCCACTGTCTTCCTTGCAGCCAGTCAGTCTGAGGGGCAATCCCTCCCACTGACATTGTAATAGCAGTTAGGACTCAACACATAACCCACACAAGGCATATCCCTGGAGTACCTGGATCAGGTGACTAAAAAGACTGCATCACTGGGCCCCATAGAACACCTACTACATAAGGTCACTCTGCCAAGACCAAGAGAATTAGAAGATCTACACAAACAAACACAAAGAGTCAACCAAACTGAGGAGACAAAAAAATGTCCCATATGAAAGAACTAAACAAAACTCGAAAAAACAGACTAAATGAAATGGAGACAAGCAATCTACCAGATACAAAGTTCAAAACACTACTTATAAGAATGCTCAAGGGAAGAGTAGATGAACTCAGTGAGAACTTCAACAAAGGGAAACATAAAAATGGAATTAGAAAACAAAAATAAATAAACAGTCAGAAATAAGTAATACAATAACTGAAGTGAAGAATATATTAGAGGGAATCAACAGTAGACTAGATGAAACAGAGGACCAAATTAGTGATCTGGAAGACTAGATATCAAAAACAACCAATCAGAACAGCAAAAAGGAAAAAGAATTTTTAAAATAAGGATAATTTAAGGGACCTCTGGGATATCACTTGTACCAACATTCATATCATAGGGGTATCAGAAGGAGAAGAGAGAGAGAAAGGGATTGAAAACCTATTTGAAGAAATAATGACAGAAAACTTCCCTTGTATGAAGGAAATAGACATACAAGTCTAGGAAGCATAGAGAGTCCCAACCATGACCCAAAAGGTCCACACCAAGAAACATCACAATTAAACTGCCAAAGGTCTCAGACAAAAAGAATTTTAAAAGCAGCAAAAGAAAAAACGAGTTAGTTACCTATAAGGGAGCTTCCATAAGACTGTCAGCTGAGTTCTCAACAGAAACCTTGCTGACCAGAAGGGATTGATACAAAATATTCAAAGTGATGAAAAGTAAGGACCTACAACCAAGATTATTCTACCCAGCAAGGCTATCATTTAGAATTAGATGAGAGATTGAGAGATAAAGAGTTTCACAGACAAGAAAAAGCTAAGTAGGTTCATCACCACCAAACTAGTATTACAAGAAATGTTAAAGGAACTCCTTTAAGAAGAAGATGAAAAAAATATGAACAATAAAATGACAATAACTGCATAACTATCAATAATCACTGTAAATATAAATGGAATGAATGCTTCATTCAAAAGACACAGGGTAGCTGAATTTATAAGAAAATAAGACTCATACATATATTGCCAACAAGAGACTCACACAAAGACTAAAATTTTTTTTAAAGCTGGAGTAGCAATACTCATATCAGACAAAATAGACTTTAAAACAAAGGCTGTAATAAGAGACAAAGAACATTTCATAACAAAAGGACCAATCCAACAAGAGTATATAACCATTGCAAATATTTATGCACTCAGGAGCACCTAAATATATGAAGCAAATATTGATGAACACAAAGGGAGAGCTCAACAGTAACACAATCATACTAGGGGAATTTAACACCCCACTGACATCAAAAGATAGTTCTTGCAGACAGAAAATGAACAAGGAAACAGTGGCCTTAAATGAGAGATTAGACCTGATGAATTTAATTGATATTTTTAGAGCATTTCACCCCAAAGTAACAGAATACACATTCTTTTCAAGTGCACATGGAATATTTTCTAGAATAGATCACATGTTAGACTACAAAAGAAGTATCAGTAATTTAAGAAAACTGAACTACATCAAGCATCTATTTCAGCCACAATGGTATAAAACTAGAAATCAATTATAAGAAGAAAAACACAAACATATGGAGGCTAAATAACATACTACTGAACAATGAATGGGTTAACAATGAGATCAAGTAAGAAATCAAAGATACCTTGAGACAAATGAAAATCAAAACACATGACCCAAAAGCAAAAGCAGTCCTATAAGAGAAATTCATAGCAATACAGGGCTACCTCAACACAGAAAAATCTCAAATAAACAATCTAACCTTATACCAAAATGAACTAAAAAAAGAACAACAAATGAAGCCCAAAATGAGTAGAAGGAAGTAAATAATAAAGATCAAAGTGGAAATAAACAAAATAGAGTCTAAAAATAAACAACACAAAAGAACTATGAATCAAGAGCTGGTCCTTTGGAAAATAAACAGAATTAA